AGGGATCAATGGGGGTCAATGGGAGTCAATTGGGGTCAATGGGGATCAATGAAGGTCGGTGGGGATCAATGGGGCTCAGTGGGAGTCAATGAAGGTCAATGGCAGTCGGGGTCAGTGGGGATCAGTGAAGGTCAATGGGGGTCAGTGGGGGTCAATGAAGGTGCATGGGAGTCAATGGGGATTAATGGGAGTCAATGGAGGTCAATGGGAATGGGAATCAATGGGAATCTGTGGTCAATGGGCGTAAATGGGAGTCAATCGGGGTCAATGGGGATCAGTGAAGGTCAGTGGGGGTTAGTGGGAATCAATGGTAGTCAGTGGGAGTCAATGAGGTCAGTGGAGGTCCATGGGGGTCAGTGGGAGTCAATGGGGATCAATGGGGGTCAGTGGAGGTCAGGGGGGGTCAATGGGGGTCAGTGGAGGTCAATGGGGATCAATGGAGGTCAATGGGGGTCAGTGGGAGTCAGTGGGGGTCAGTGGGAGTCAATGGGGGTCAATGGGATCCATGGGGATCAACGGAGTCAACATGGAAGGGCCCAAGACTCAATAGGGTCAATGGGAGTCAATGGGGGTCAACACGACAGGACATGGGGGGACCCCAGTAACCAATGGGGTCAATGGGAGTCCACTGGGATCAATGCGGTTGGATTGAGGGGTCTCCAGCACCCAATGTGGTCCATGGGGTCAATGGGAGTCATTGGGGGTCAATGGGATTGGATATGGGGGGTCACCAACAACCAATGGGGCGGCAATGTGGTTGGATGGGGGAGTCCCCAACACCCAATGGGGTCAGTGGGGGTCAACGTTGGCCAACGGGATTGGACATGGGCGGGGCCCAACCCCAAATATGGTCAATGGGGGGTCACTGGGCATCCCCATTGGCCACCACCATCGACCATTGGCCTCCCCCAACTGCGGCCCGCCCACCCCGGCAGCCATCTTGGGGCGGGGCCCTTAAAGGGCCGGCGCACTCACCAGCAGCGTCTCGGCGGCGCCCAGGGCGGCCATGGCGGCGGCGAAGGCGGCGCCCAGGAAGGCGCAGAGCCCGGCGGCCCCGCCCACCTCGGGGCCCAGCGCCCGCGCCAGGGGGGCCAGAGCCCCGCCCCCTGTCCGGACACCGGGGCCCCTTAGTGCCGGACGCCGGGGCCCCCTTCCCAGACCCCACCTCCTTTTCCCGCCGCCCCGCCCCCCCACCGGATGCCGGGGCCCTCACCGGGGGGCGGGGCCTCCTGGCCGCTGGGCGGGGGGAGGGCCCCGTTGCTGGCGACGGCGCCCAGGGACACGGCCGTGAGCAGCACCTGGGGGGCCCGGACGCCTGGGCCCCGGGCGGCCCCACGCGGGACCCCCGGCCCGAGAGAGCAGAGAGAGCCCAGAGACCCATAGAGACCCATAGACCCCATAGATATCCCCATAGACACCCACAGACCCCATAGGGACCCAGAGAGACCCACAGATCCCCCCATAGAGACCCACAGACCCCATAGGGACCCCCCGTAGAGACCCAYAGACCCCATAGGGACCCCCCATAGAGACCCACAGACCYCATAGRGACCCCCCATAGAGACCCATATACACCCACGGAGACCCACAGACCCCAGAGAGATGCATAGACCCCATAGGGATCCCCATAAGAGACCCACAGACCCCAGAGAGACCCAGAGAAACCCACAGATCCCCCCATAGAGACCCACAGACCCCATAGGGACCCCCCATAGAGACCCATAGACACCCACAGAGACCCACAGGCCCCATAGGGACCCATAGACACCCCCCTAGAGACCCCCAGAGACCCATAGAGGCCCACAGAACCCTCCATACAGACCCATAGAGACCTGTTGACCCCCATGGAGACCCACAGACCCCACAGAGACCCATAGACACCCCCCTAGAGACCCCCAGAGACCCATAGAGGCCCACAGAACCCTCCATACAGACCCATAGAGACCTGTTGACCCCCATGGAGACCCACAGACCCCACAGAGACCCATACAGACCCACAGACCCCCACAGGCCCCATAGGGCCCCATACCCCCATAGGTGCCCCATACCCCCATAGCCGCCCCATAGCGCCCCATAGCGCCCCGCGGTGACTCACGCAGGCGCCGCAGAGCCCGCCGGCGCCCAGGGCGCCCAGCAGCCCGGCCAGCCCCACGAGCCAGGGCAGGCGCAGGAAGAGCAGCGGCCCCAGCGCCTCGGCCAGCGCCGCTGCCGCGCGGCCCCACGGCGCCCCCCGCTATGGGGCAGCAGGGCCCGCTAAGGGGGACGCCGGGGCCCCGCGGGGGGCCCTGCAACCGGCGCGCGGCCCCTTTAAGCCGGACGCCGGGGCCCTCCCCCCCAGCTCACCTGGCCGCTCTCCAGGGCCGCCGCCCGGCGCAGCAGGGCCGACACCAGCTCCTCCTGCGGGGGCGGGGCCACGCGGTGGGCGGGGACACGGCGGGGGCGGGGCCTCGAGGGGGCTGAGTCCTCCCGGGGTGGGGTCTCAAATGGGGCGGGGCCACAAAGAGGGCAGGGCCTCAAGTCCTCCCAGGGTGGGGTCAGAAGTGGGGTGGGGCCACAAAGGGGGTGTGGCCTCGGGGTGGGGCCACAAAAGGGGCGGGGCCCTGAGGGGGCAAGTTCTCCCAGGGCAGGGTCACAAATGGGGCGGGGTTACAAAGGGCTGTGGCCTTGGGGGGGTGGAGTCATGAAGGGGGTGGTGCCATGGAGGGGGTGGGGCCAGCAGGTGGGCGTGGCCACAAAGGGGCGGGGACAATGGGTGGTGCCACAAAGGGTCGGTGCCTCCCGAGGGTGAGGCCATGCAGTGGGTGGGGTCATAGAGGGGGCGGGTCCAAAAAGGGGCGGGGCCTCGGGGGGCGGTACCTCGAACAGTGCCAGGTTCTCATCCCGTGGTGGTGGTGGTGGCTCTGTGGGGGGGGGGCGGAGTCAGGAGGGCCCCGGCGTTCGGCTTAAAGGGGCCGCGCGTCCGGGTTCGGGGGCCCCGGCGTCCGGGTTAAAGGGGCCGCACGTCCGGGTTCGGGGGCCCCGGCGTCCGGGCGCACCGGCGGGGGCGTCGCTGCTCTCGCGGGCGCTGGAGGCCGAGCTGGGCTCGGGGCTGGACGAGGCCGACGGCGGCGCCATCTTGGCCGGCGTCACCACGAAGCGCACGGACGCCATGATGGCCGCCGGGGCGGAGCCTGAGGTGGTGGGAGGGGGGAGGAAGTGGCGGCGGGCACAAGATGGCTGCCATTGGAGGAGGGGAGGGGCCAAGATGGACGCCCCTACCCCAGAAATGGCCGCCTGGGCAACATGGCGGCACCCCAACATGGCTGCCGGGGCAACATGGTGTCCAGCCAAGATGGCGGCGGACCAAGATGGAGGGGCCCTGGGGTGGTCGCCATGTCCAATATGGCTGCCTGCCAAGAGGGCAGCACCCCAAGATGGCCGCTCTCCAACATGGCCGCCCCCATGAGGAGGGTGGGGTCCTGGGAGGCCATTTTGCAGCCCCTGGGGACCCATTTTGGGCTGAAAATCCCCATTTTGGGGTAAGAAGTCCCATTTGGGAGGAAAAATACCCATTTATGGGTATAAATCCCCACTGTGGGGTAAAATATCCCCTTTTAGGGTAAAACTCCATTTGAGAGCAGGAAAAAAAAACATTTTGGGGTATAAATTCCTACTTTGAAGGTAGAAATCCCCATTTGGGGGTAAAAATCTCCCGTTTGGGGGATCTGTGGCCCCATTTTTGCTCCCAAACCTCTCATTTTGCAGACCCCAACTTCATACAAAAAAAAGGCCCCAAATCCCAGTTTTCAGCCCCAAAATGATCAAGATAAACCCCCAACTCCCCTTTTTTTAGACCCCAAGCTCCCCATTTCCAACACTCCACCCCAAAACTCCCATTTTGGGCCCCAAACTCCCCTTTTTGGGGCCCAAACCGGCCATTTGGAACCCCAATTCCCCCTTTCCAGCCCAAACCCCCAATTTCTGGCCCCCAAAGCCCCTTTTTTCCCCCAATTCCCCCTTTCCTCCCCAAAAAAACATTTCCAAGCTGCAAACTCCCATTTCAGCACCCCCCCAAAACCCCAAGTTTTTGCCCCAACCCCCCATTTTCCCCCCAACATCCCATTTCCCTCCCCCACCGCGTTACCTCAGGGTGGGGTGGGGGGGAGGCCGTGACGTCAACGCGCAAGGACGTCACGGCGGCCACGCCCCCTCCCCGCTGCGGCGGGAGGTGCCGCAGGGGGCGGGGCTAAAGGGGGCGGGGCCCGCGGGAGGGGGTCACGTGGCCGCTGTCACCACAAGCAGCCTGGTCACGTGGCCGACACCGATTTTTATTCCCGCGCGTTACAACGCGGCCGGAAGCCCCGCCCTTTCATCCCCCTCCCAACATCCGGCGTGCTTCCGCCTCGGTGCACCCCGCGCGGCGCGTCCGGACGGGCGACACGCGGCGCCGCTCGAGGGTTCCGCGTCGCCATGGTTCCGGGTGGGCGCGGGGCTTTAACGGCGCTTCCGGTTTCACAGCACGGGTCGCGGCTGCTGCGTGGGCAGCACCCGGAAGCGCCGCTTCAGCGCCAGGCGGTGCCGCGAGTATTTGTCGTCCGGCGAGAAACGCGCCGGGTGCGCCGAGGCCGTGGCGCGCCCGTCCGGGGCCGATTTCTGCGCGCACCGGAAGCGCCTGTCACCCCCGCGCTGCCGCTTCCGCCCTCACTTTCGCGCCGCCCGCATCCCACTTCCGGTGGCTCCGCCGCCTCCCATCCGCCGCTCCCAGCGCCGCTTCCCTTTGGTTCCGCTTCCGGCTTCCCCCGCCGCCCCAACCCGGTCCCGTTCGCTCAGACCTCCCCCTCCCCCCTGTTCCCTTCCCGCCGCTTCCGCCTTCCTTGGGTTCCGCTTCCTTTGTGTTCCCCTGACCGCTCCGCTTCCGCATTCTCCCGGTTCTCCCTTCCCCACACACCCCCCGCGCCGGTCCCGTTTCCGCTTCCGGTCCCGGTACCTTCAGGGTGTAGACGCGCTCGCCGCGCTCGTTCTCGTAGAACTGCAGGAACATGGCGGCTGCGCGCGGGGCACGACGGGAAGGGGGGGCGGCGCCGCGCGCGGCACGACGGGAAGGGAGGGCGGGGGGAGGAGCGGCCGCGGGGAGCGCTGGGAAATGGAGTCCCCGGCGGCCCCGGCGTCTGGAAACTATATTGAGTCCATTTTATCTTTAATATTTTCAGTAAAAAGAATGTGAAAAGTTAAATTTCCTACATACGTTATCTCCCGAAATAAGGAATATTGCATTACAAGGCACCTGGTGATGACACAACATGCCCACAATTACGTGTGCTACCCAGGGGCCTCAGAGGAGCGAGTTTTGTCTGGACAACGGTCAAGGTACCTGGTGACGGACAGAGCAGAGCTCCAAGTCCTCCACTGCTCCGTCCAGGAGCTGCTCATCAGAAAGCAGCTGGGGACCTGTGTCCATGGCCATTCATCCTTCCATTTCTGGTACTTCCAGTCCGTAGCGGGTTATCTGCTGGTGGATTTTAGCAGAAAGAAGTCATCTCTCACAACACAGATAGACCTTACATGCAGAAAATCAGATATACTTGGGCACCTGGAGAGTTTCTTGCTTTTCACCTGGAAGAACTTGTGCTTCCTCTCAAGACAAAGCTTGTGAGTGAAGGAATACCTCTTTTCCTTTGCCGTGGCATGGAGAGGCACTTCCACAATTCTTCAGGAGTTCTCTCCTCTGACGTTTTCTTCATTACAGGTCTCCAAACCCAGGTGAGGAGACTCCCACCAAAGGAAACGGAAGGTGCTTTGTGGACACCCTGCAAGGCCCTACTGCAAATCCTTGGAGGCTTGGGGTGTTAAAGATGGCTTCATTTAAGCTCCCTCCATCCTGCCCTTCAAATCACTTTGAAGGCTTCTCAAACTCCCGAGCATCTCAAGGAGCTTCCTACCCATCTCCTGCCTCCAGCATCACCAGGAGCCTCCCGTCTCCTTGAGCAAGCATCTCTCCGCGTCCCCCCTGCAGCAGTTGTCTGTGTGGGACACATCTCCCACCGCTCTGCAAACATCCGCCCGCTTATCAGCAGATAACAGCCCACAGCTGCAGCACTGTGCTGGAGGGCAGGTCCCTTGCAAGCCATTTCCTTTGGTTTTTCATTTCCTTTGTTTTTTCATTTCCTTTGTTTTTTCATTTCCTTTTTTTTCATTTCATTTCATTTCATTTCATTTCATTTCATTTCATTTCATTTCATAAAATTTTATTTCATTTTAT